CACCACTTAGAGTTTATCGCAGAGATTGTAAATGTGGTCCGTTTGTAAAGGATTATCTATACAGTTATTTCCCCTGTACCGTTTAAATTTGTGTATACAGACGTTAACGTTGATTTCTCGCACAGCAATTTTGAGACTTTTGGTTATAAGATTATAAGGCATGGTTTAAGAAGTTTTATATTTATAGTAACTGATACGTTTCCATTTTCTCACTCAGAAAACAGCTTAGAACAGAATTGATTCTTTTGGTCCTCTTTTGTTCAATTGGCTTTTTCACTTTATGGACCGTATTCTCGGCGGATACTTGTCTTACCCAGCAAACAACTTAAGGCTGAACTTGATTCCAGGGGATCTCTTGTTTAGGGCAAGGTTATCAAGATTTGCAAGGAGATTCCCAACAAAAGGATATTTTCTCATAGAGACGTAGCTTTATTCTGCGGGTCCTCAAAAACTAGGTAAACTCCCGAGTGTCCAGGCACGGAATGCAGTCATCACTGATAGAAAATAAATTACAACCATTAAATTGGTGTTGAATAACAGCGTAACGAAGCGGAATAAATGACCAATAATTTACTTCTTTTATCGTGGGTTCTTTTATTTACAGACAAATTAATCGTTACGGGGGTTATGCCCCTTGCTAATAAAAACTTCGCAGACGGTATTAAAATCCGATATTTAATCTGTGAATTATTGAGTAGAAATCAAGAACCGATATCTTCCACAATAAAGCTTATTGCTACATTCATTTCGCGCCAATTATTCCCGGGCAGACGATTCAATGCTTTTATAAATGGTCTGCTTTTGACCCAAGGATTGCCTGCTTGCTAATTTGAGAAATTCCTGGAATAAAGAGTGAAGTAATTTGTATCAAGACGAACAATTTCAATTCAGTTGAGAATAAGAAGAAGAAATTTGCGGGTTAAAATCGTCTGTCGCGGTCAGAATGGTCGGCGTCTGTTTCAATTGAAAGAACGTCTGACTCACTGGTAAGTGGTCGATCCAGACGATGATATATTCCTGGAGTAATTGTGATGTTTATTGAGAGGTGATTAAGATGGAATTGAGCTGATATCTCGCTGACCACATGGTTTTATTATCAAATTCTACAGTACACTCTGTTCGATATTCCTGGTTCGCTCGTATAAATAGCCATCGTGAGCATTCAGGTTAAAATTTTTAAAGCAAGACATTTTATAAGCTCAGTGTTTCAACTAAATGATTGGTTATTTAAGTAGGTTTTTAGGGAGCCGTTGCTGACATAGGCCTCATATAAATAAGGGCATTATTATGAGTATAAGTTATGAATCATTTTTATAGGCCCACATGAAATGGGTGGGGGCGTATATTGGCGTACCAATGTCAGTCAGTCCGCCCTTCCGTCCACAATTGCTCGTAATCACTCTGGAAGGCACATGGTTCAGTATCACCTCTAAAAGTTTAAATGAGGGGTAAGACTGAAAGTTGAATATTTCATACTGGTGATTGTTACTGTACTGGCAAATGTTTTATAGGCCTATTACATATCGTGTATCTTTTAGATACTTATTTTGGGACATTTTTTAATTTTATATTTGATTTTTTGCAGTTGAGGGACTGCATACGCCATATGTACCAATGGTCACCATCGACAGATAAAACCCCTCTTTTCATCAATTTTCTACAGTTCACTCTGAATCATAGCGAATTCAGGCAATGTTTTTTGGGCCATTGCCCCCACCCCCTTTCAGATAATCGAATGACTCAACTAGAGGAGTGGGGGACTGGGACCCCTCGCTATTTCTTTAAACATAGGCTCTCCTGCATTTTTTTCTAAGGGTGGGAGTCCCCTTTTAGGTGGGGGCCCGTGTTCTTGGTTCAACCAGTCCCTGTGGTAGTTGAGCCACTAATACCAAAATAAGACGAGTAATACTTCAGATCCACTGGATATTAATATGCAAATGGTATTTTACGTCTTCTCTATGACAAAAAAGAAAGCGATTTACACATTCTTCTCCCTTCGGTCCCAATGATTAAATCCATTAAATATCTACACTCAACCTTGACAGATAAGCGACAGCCTAGACAGTTCTGCTGAACTGTGTCTACCAACGACCGCCTTCCCCTACCTTTACTTCATCTCATTTCGATTATTTCAGGTGGTGAGTGAAGTTCAGGTCCGTAGAGAGACTTGATTGTTCTGAGGGGCTAGTAATATATCCGCAGGGGCAATAGTGTATGGTATTTATTTGCAGTTATAGAATTGGTTGGTTTTCAGAATTTTTTTGGAGGGCGGGGCAATCTATGTTTTCGGGTGGGCAATGCTCCGCTTTATTCCCTGTAGCTACGGGCTGGTGGATTATAAGAAAACTACAACGAGAAGGTAACTATTTGTGAGGTTTATTTCAGAATAAAAGAAAAATAAATAAAAAAAGAAGATATAGGATATATTATGTTGAGCCCCGGCTCTTTTCAATTCAAATAAAAATGCTTCTTTTACAGTTCATTTAGCAAGTAATTACCAAAGAATACAGCCATGTAATCAATTGCCGAAATAGCTGAGAAAATACTCTATCAACTGTTTAATAAACTAAGGCTGTATTCTTTAGAAACAACAATACTACTTTTGAAACTTCAGAGTTGTAAATAATATGAGCTATTTGGTTGAAATTGTGCAGACCTCACTTTTAAACTAGTATACAGTTTGAAAATCTTATCGTCAGCGCACTAACGGTAATGATGAGCAAACTTCATTCTGAATGCCATTTCTCTATCCATATTACATAGGCCAAAGGTCACCTTAGGTCGTCTGTTAAAACTAATTCCAGGATAACTTAGAGCGAATTTTACAAAAACTTTTCAAAGGTTTTATCTAGTAATCTGATTGGTCAATAGCTAAAATGTTTTTTTGATTCTGTTTGATTATCCAATCAGAATTCTTTTACTGGATTTAATTCTTTTCTTAAAATTTGATCCTGTATTGCCATTCGGTGACATTCACGAAGCGGTATTGCTTGACATGCATAAGTACGACGCACAATTTTTGTCAGCCCTACAGGGCTAAATTTCACAAAACGTAAACCCAGACAAAATATTATGGAATGACGTATTCTGATTGGGTAATAAAACTTAATCTAAAAATATATTTTAGCTTTTGACCATTCAGAATATTCGAGCAAAATTCACCTTTTGTGATCTTAGGTTGCTCACGAATGATATTTTGCTCAGCATTTTTTTTTAGTGTGCTGACAATGGAAGAAATTCAAATTACAACATTTCTTAATAAAACAACAAGGAGCATGAAGCAATGCTTTACTTTAATGAAAACAAAGCAAGATAAAACCATTTCGTATCAAAACACTACATATACTCTGCAGCTATAGTAACAAATATTCAACATAAAAATTGTTTATACTCCATATAAAAAGAATGAAAACCATGGGATTTCAAATTTTATGTTCCCATCTCTTCATAAAACAACGCCATATTCATAAAAATAACCATCATTGAAATCGTTCCAGAACGTTACATTGATACAAACTTAAAGCTATCATGAATCTATATGTCAGTTTTAGATTGAAAATATTAGTATTGATATCGTCAATACTAGACTTTGTATTGATATCATATAGTGCTCATACCTTTGAAGACATATACAATTTTCTTCTTCATGTTAGCTTTAATTCGAATTATTATTTAATTCAATAGAATTTATTATGTTTCTTTACTTGTCGAATTAAAAAGTTATACGCACTTTTCCCCAAAGAGTCTTGTATTATAAGCAATATAGCTGAAAAATACTTTCACGATTTGAAGGAATTCTTCTTAAATGTAAATGCCATGGTCGGTCAAGTAATATTTTGCTAATGGCATATATTGTCTATGAGCCAGAAAAATGATATTTCAAGTCAAATCCCTATTGCTTTTCTGACTTCTTAAAATATATTATCGAAGTCCTTGCTATTGATGAACAATATAATAGCTATCATTACCAAAATAATTCACAAACATTCAAATATTACATGAATATTTAAAAGTAAAAAAAGTAAAACAAATTCGTTTCGTTTTAAATACCACGGTTATGTTTTTGAAAATATTAAAACGAAAAGAATAAATCATTCTGGGGCTATTTTGATAAGACACTTAAAGCAACTATTCTTCTTAAAAACGTATGTACATTGCATTGCTTTGATATTGAGTAAACGACTCTGCAGACGTACATATATAATGCATGGTTTTGTGCATGCGAATTTTGGATTTCTCGACATTTAGCACATATTCTTTAAGTTTTATTTGGAAAATTATCGTAACTTAATATGGCAAGAAAGAATATCATTAACAAACAAAGAATATGAGACATTAAGAAAAAGAGATAGACTTTAAAAATCAACGTCATGACCACGTCATGTATCTTGCAAAATTGGCGGGAAATTCAAATATTGTACAAATATGAAGCCATTTTCTAATAGCCTAGCAACTATATATACAAACTGAATAAATAAACATGAACAAATATCACAAACATTTTACATTTAAAACACAGTCTTTTTTCCATTTCTCCTTTCCAATTTCATTTTGATTGTTTAATAATTTCACTATTCGGTTCGGAATTCTATGATCTATTATGTTCGTTTCGAACACGTAAATCGTAAACGTTTTATAAGTTGCATTCGCTTTAATTTCATTTCATTTGGCATCCATCATCATTGAACAGTTTATTATGTAAGTCAACATTATGAAATAGAATCACACAATTCGAAATTCGAATTCAACAATCGAAATTGAAGTACATCTAACTTAATATAAAATAAACCACATAAATGCCTTTTCTCACATTCGAGAAATTTAGTTTTCATTCATGGCCTTTGGTTAGTACATTAAAGCTTTAACATGAGGTACGAAGTAAGGGGACATAACCCTCTTGTCCTAGGATTAGCCTACTTTTAACAGACGATACTGACTAGCTTTTTGCTTGAAACATTTTAAAGCTTGCTTAAAGCTCGAGGTTTTTTTCTCTCTGTTCTTCATGCAATATATAACGTTTTCTCATTTAGAAATGTAGAACCAATATTATACAACATTTTTGCGTACCAATGAACACCATTTTGAGGTGCATTTTCCTGTTGCGTCGAGTGTAGGAACCAAGGTACATATTGAGATAAATAATGTAGTCCTCTCATTGGTGCGAAAACAGCATGGGCTAAATTAGCGTCGGACACGACAGCATAACACGAAACTACAACTCCGTCAACGACAATATTACCGTTCACAGTTAATGGCGCGTAAACACCTTGTAATGTTTTTTCACTAATTGTCACAACCCTAGTGGGACTTATGGCCCCCTTTTCCGATGACGTTATTAACACGTGATCACCTTCCATAATGTCATCAGCATACACTACGTCATACGACTCGAAATTTGAACTGTTCGTACCTGACGCGTATATCAAATGCTTAGACGTTAACGTAATATCTGTGTCGTCTTCTGTATGAAGGGTGAGATATTTCTCAAACTCCAAGTCATTTCTGTCTATGAACGCTATAACAGGACTATATTCCAATTGTCCAGCACTATTTATACTCAACACTTTATCTCCGACTGTCAATTGGCCCATGGTTTTCCAGCCATGTAAAGTTTGTACACTTCCGGTTGGCGGGAAACATCCTCCAATTTTTATGGCAACAGACGAATCTGAAAATAAAAAAAAAATAAGTGATAAAAAATAATGTGCACCATTTTTGCTCATCCGATTTGAATGGACTAATGGTGGCTTTATAAAACAAAGGCTCGATAGTTATTTAATTGGAATCGTTTGATAAAAAATGGTTTCAACCGAAAACTAGGAGTTGACTAAGTTCTCGAAAAAGTTTTATGTTAAGTTTACAACACACTGTCTTGTATAATATATTATGATATGATTTTATGGTATTTTTACTAGGTCTTTATGAAGTCTGTTAGATCATAAACACTGTTCAGCTATTTATTGATATCCTGGGGATTTATCAGGTGAGGCACATGATAACACACTTCAGAAATTTCACACGTTTAACAGTGGTTAATATGTCTAGGGGGTGTAAGAGTCTGTGTGTGCATGGTTGTAAATCCAATTAAATTCTTCTTTCGTACTTAGAAGAGAATGGTCGAGGTGTGGTGTCCGGTGCGGGATTGGCGATTAAGTTAAAAAAAAAAGTGCAAATCCATAGCCATTACTGTATAGGCCAAATTCATGAGATACAATCAGATCAATTTATGCCTGATCAAACAAATCAACCAAGATACAAGAAACATATTTGTTACATTTATCCAAAAAACCATAAAATTTCCTATAAATGTTGAATTCTATGTGTCAAGTAACAATTTCAAAGTCAAAACTCGACCTGTGGCCAGAAAGTCTTCATAAATCGAGCAGCTGGCATAGCGGATGAGATATGAGATTGAGGGTATGTTACTACACATGGATGGAAAATTAACAATAGGAAAATTAAATCGGACACATTGATCGTGATTGATGACAATTTCGAGTAGCAAGTCCAAGTAGGACGAAGTAAGGGTCCGGATACAATTCGGACACGATTCGTTTATTGTACCATATCGAGCAGTTCAAAACGTACACCGTACATCTTCCATGAAAGACTGCCATGTTCAATATGTATTTCTCAATTTCTTTATTTAGGGGAGGTGGATGTTGTGACAATCTAATAAATTTCATCCAGTTTTGGAAGCTGTATTAAATATTTTCCAGCAGAACTATGTATGGGGCTTGATCTGTAGTTTAAATGCTCCAACCTTCGAAGACATTTTTTGGAACAATAATATGGGTATACAGAAGTATTTAACACGCCCATGACATCGTCAAAATGTATACAGTATTTCACTAAGAATTTCTCACGTTTCATCTTCCAGTCACCGCACTCGTGACTTTCAAAAACTTAACGGGTTCACACAAAATGTGGCTGGTAAAACACCGGTACTAATTACCCGAAACGAAAGTCAACTAAAGTATAGGCGATGTTGTCTACATCATTATTGACTGTCGAAAAGGTTTTCGTGACATATGCATGAAGATGAATTGAGCTTGAATTGACCGATTCAACTAGACCAGAGGTCAGGTCAAACAAAATGGCGGAATTTGGAAAAGATCAGAGTCGTCTGCTCAGGTAGAATGTAACTGGTAACTAATAGAGATTAACCCGAGCTCCTGGCACCCCCTCACTATGTTTGATTTGCTTTTTAAGAGCTCAAAGGTCGAGTTAACAGGTAGAAAGCTTTGGGTGAACATCGGATTATATCTTGGTGTTGAAATGCACCGAAATACGTTAAAGCGTCTTCAGTATATACGTTTCACATTTAAAGAACACGCTTTCTCGTTTTGGAGTTCTGCACCGTCTGACCTACTAAAGTAGGACTCATGGTGACAAATTTGTACCTCCTTCTTGTCAATTAGATTTTGAAGAGAACTTGAAGGTGACGACACATTCTCGTGATTTCAAGTTATTTAAATAAATCTGTGTGTCGTTTGGTGCGGGTTGCAGAGCTCCGATCATGTACACATTTTAAGATGTAACCGCACTGCCTGTGTCAGAGCTTTCATAGATGGCAATGTGTTATGCCTGTTTACTTCGTTTTATCAAGGGGATTTCGCTTCCAAATGAAGCACTTGGCATAGCAAGAACCACTATTGATTTCCAACCCTTCGAATCATGCTATTCCCAAAACTACAGAAATTACTATAGAAAATGGTGATTGGTTGCCAATCACAGCCGAGGCACTTCCACCTATAGAAAAGACATCTATAGAAGTATAGGAAAAGAATTTCCTAGTTTGAGATATTTTTGAAGGAATTGTGCAATTGTCGTACATTTCTAATACTTCTGAAGACTATTTACATATATTAAAGACTCACCAAACCCCAAATCCCCAAAATGGCACATAATGGCACACTGTCCCTTTAACAACGTTCCAAAAATCTAAACAATGTTGAAATTTGACAATGAAGTTTTATGTAAACAAAAAGAAGTTAAGTGCCCCTCCTAAACACTTCACGGACCTAAAGTTTTTCGAGGCAAAAACTCAAATAAACAGGGCAAAGACTAAAGTTGGGAATTGTTGATTGACCAAACAAACTAACACTTAACAAGTTAGTAGAAATATCATGTTGATTCAAGACACAATTGACAATTTCTCTCGCTCTCATTAAAATCTGTCGAGGTTTTCACCCAAAAACTAGCCTTCCAAGCGTTATCTTTGATTTTTTATCTTTTGTCATTCAGTGAGGTAGTCACACAATATTTTGTCCTTGATTCGGAGGGAGTCACGGTGAGATAGACTCTTGTTCGCTAACCTGAAGGCACAGGGTTCAATCCCGGCGTAAGTCGAGATAATACCTTCGGATTTTTCAACACGGTTTCCCCTGTCAGTTAAAGGGGTTGGCATGGAAAAAGCGTCTCGTCGTTCAGATGGGACAATAAACCGAGGTCCCGTGTGCTTCAGACTGCGGACGTTAAAGATCCATCGACAGTTGAAAATCGAAAAAGAGCAGGCTAATGCCGCTGTCCTGGCAAAATTTCCCCCCTGCATGGCGTTGACCGTCTCCATTAGCCCACATGGTGCAGAAAGGTAGCTACATTCATTTCATTTTTCTTGATCTATGTAAAAACAGATATTGGATATTATGCCCCTGTATGTCTTTTTGGTGTCTTTAATTGTAATTCTATCAAAAAAAATTAAAAATGTTTCTGGGGTTCATTTTCAGATTTGACGATTAGATCTTTACGCCAGCCAATTCATAATGTTACAGACCCACATGTCATGGTTTATTTTCTCGCATATACGAACGATATTACAATTTTTTTTTATAATTGGGTAGTGGTTTTTCAATAACATTACTATCAAGATTGGCCCGCACGGACATTTCTAGTCTTCCAGGCAATAAAGTGTATAAAAAGTTTCATCAAAACTTGATAAATGGATTTCTGAAAATTGTGATGTTTAAATTATCATGTGTTTTACGTGGAACTGCATACTAATAGTATGCTATTCAGACTAAACAATAGTTTTTTTTCTTTGAGCAAGCCATAAAACACATTCCAGCATTTGTACAACGCTATTGATCAATGTGGTTGTTACAAATCACGGAATGTGAGGACAATAAACCGAATATATAATTTTCTACAAATATGGCTGTTTCAAAGGCCTAAGACGTTTTTGACAAAAGTTTAAAAGTAAACCAGACATTGAAATATTGTTTAATCCAATCACAAAGGTTACAGTTGATTTAACAATGGCGGAATAGCTAGGATACATTCAAATTGGTAGTACAATGGAGTGACCCGGTCCGTTATTTTCATCGTTACCTAACTCTGTTAACATGTTTTCTAAACACAAAACGACACACAAATACCAATATTTCTTTCAATGTTTGAGATAAACTTTTTGTTATGTAATTTCTTTCCTGTGTAGAAAAGGCGATAATTGCAGACGAGAGCAAATAATTACCCGCCAATTTGAACGTGAACGTTGGCAGTTGGGGTCAGACGTGTCAAAGTTGTATTATCTTGACTGAAAAGGAAATGACGTGCATTATGATATGAAAGGCCAGTGATTATCACCTCTAATTGAATTAAATATAATAATTCACTAAAAGTTTCTATCTTATTATAGTGGATATTGATATGATGATTAAGGGCGATAAGAAGGCGCTAATTGATATTATATTAAATTCTATCAGATATCTTCCAAAAGAAAGACAGAGCGACCTTTAATAGAGATTAATGCTAAAGAAATATTGTTAGTTTTGTATTTTTCCATATAAGCTCTCTTAGTTGATAACCCTTAAACAATACAATACCTAAAGCTAGTGTTAAATGCCTAAAGTGAATTTCACTAATAATTTAGCAAGAAGTGATCCTTTCCGACCTAAATGTGTGCTTTGTGATAACGCCGAATGAACAAAATTTCGCTTTAAAAAAAAGGAAAATCCTCATGAAAGTTTTTACCGTATTAGGACGTTATGGTGAACATAACGGTTGTTCTGCAATTTGTGAGCTCTTAAGAATTTCATAGATTCTGTATAATGATGGATTATATATATTATTATATTGTGGCGTTGTCGTTTCTTTCTAGTATTTATCGGTCTAATCAAGAAACCATGATTTTCAGTTGTTGGTCTTTTAATCGATGAGAATTTTGTATCAAAAATATGCATAAACCGTTTCTCAATTTATTTTTCTACTGAAAGTGTCGTGTGATATTTTTGTGAAAGAATGGAACACAGAACAGTTTCGAAACAATTTTGAAAAATTGAACGCGGAGATAATATCACTTTTTTATGGTCCAACGTGGAAATAGAATCGCCGTGATTTGTAGAAATAACTGTCATAAAAGGGGCAATATTCAAATTTATTTCAGTGTCCTTTGAACAATAAATTGTGTTAATTGAAATCCAATATTTTAGGTGAAACGTGTTAAGTCTATTTCATAAAAAAAGAACATATTTTTAATGAAATCATTTCTGAAGATAAATTAAAAATTAAAATAAAAACTATTCTTGAAATAGAGGTGCTAAGTGGAACTATGTAAATTATATAGATATCTATGATAATTAAGCGTCTATTAGTACTAGTATAATAACTGTCTAGGAACTAATTATATTAAAGGCTTAATGTCTTGGAATATATTTGGATGTTTCTTTTCAAAAAACACATATGGTATAATATATCATTGTATCAGGTTTAATATGGTTTACTATTCTATAGAAGCACTGGCCTGGGTCATAAGTACAGACGGTATAAAAGTCAATTAAATGTAAACAGAAGTTATCGAAATTAATACTCCTGGAGATATTTACAAATAATTCAAATATCCACTGCAATTGCTTCAGTGAGTTCATGAAAGGGGATCTATTCTGCCATGGACAAGAATACATGTATATATCAATTACTTCAACAGTTATTCGTCTTCATTAGCCCTATGGATGCAGAAAAGTAGGACGTTTACTTACAGGAATGAAACGGATTTCTTCACGAAATTGTTTTGGGTGACAATTTGGCATCAGTCAGTTTACCGGTGTCGCGACCAGTCAGTTTACCGATGTCGCGGTCAGTCAGTTTACCGATGTCGCGATCAGTCAGTTTACCGATGTCGCGGTCAGTCAGTTTACTCGTGACGAGGCCAGTCAGTCTACTCGTGACGCAGCAAGTCTGTTTACCGATGCTGACATTTGGTATTGCAATGACATAGGCGCATAATATATTTTTTTAAAGATTTAAAGAGGGTTCTAGTTATATGCGTAAAATGGGAACCGTTGATACCGGACTCTAAATCTACAATACTCGATACAAATATAATAGACTAAAAAACTATTTTAACAAAATTTTGACTAATTTTGATCATAAGGAAATATTGGCAAACTTTGTTGGTTGAAACTCTGACTATTACCAGAAACAATACCTTTATTACAAATATTAATATATCTTGTATTTCCTCTACAATGGGTTGTTTTATTGTCACATGGCGTGATGTGAAATACAATATTGATTCTTCCTGAAAATGGTTCCAATATAATCGATTGGCATTATTCCTTTGAGAAAAATATGATTCTGTACTTAGGATCTATTGGATTCTTCTTGGTTAAAACTATATTCAGTATACATATCAGTGTATTGTTCTTATCCACACAAATACTTGCATGGGGCAATCTGTCCCAGAAATGGAAATTCAGCCGATTGGCTTGAAGAAGCAAATTCTTTTCGTATCATGGGTGCTGCGAGCTAGTAAGGGTGTAGATGGGAACACCATCCCCTTCGCGATACGACATCACATTAACGAACTTAATAAGTCATTAGGCTATCAATATCGCATTCAGGTACTCTTTGGTGGGTACTGCTAGCGATACAAGCCCCCTTCCCCACCACGTTCAAGGACACGAAATATTCAGAGACTGGCATAAAGCGAAACTCTGGTAGGCTGCTATTTTCGAAATTTGGTACTCGTGGATTCATGCATTTGATCTGTTCCCTCTTTTTCAAAAACACGACATCACGTTCAGAGATACCATCACATTAATAGCGTTACTGTGATATTATTTTCGCAGCAGGAACTTGTAAGTTCGTTATTCGGATTAAGTTTACCTAAGATGCGGTTTGGGGGGGGGTTTCCCGGTATTGATACAAAGATTAGATTAAGGTGTGTAGACTAATTAGTTTTATCTCCAACTTTTATTTCATATTATTTACCTTTATCTTATTCTGTTTTACTAATAAAAGATTCAAATTTCTGTCAACTTTGATGTTTCAATCAAACTTAAATACTGCACGACATTCGCGTGCTTTTGTTCTATATTTAGACCATCATAAACGCCAAATTATGGCATTTTCTCACTCACGAAAAAATTGTATCGCAAGTAGCGTGGGTATGATTTCCAGTCAATGAGTCTGACTTGAACTATTTGTGACCACATTACATTCCGAGCTTACATTTAAACGATCCATGATTACGATGATTGGAAAATGAAGCCGAACTGATAATCAACAAAGTGTTCGGTAAGTAAGAACGTCGGAATTTGAATCAAGTTAGCAATGGAACGGCGTGTCATATCCGTCTTTTAGTTTGCTGATTGAGCTTATGAGCATATCGTCATGCAGTGGGCAAAGAGGCAGTGTCCCCTCCCCCAAAATGTGGCCCCTGCTCGCCCCCTCACGCAACTGCAAGGTGGACATTTTTGTGGATTTTAACCAGGCACATGGTATCTAATTTATTACTCATCACCACCTGAATGGAACCCAAGGCTCATGAAACAAGAAAATAGATCAAAATCTCAATAGTTGATAAGCATCTGATTTTTCAAAATCATGCAAAAAGGTAGCATCAAATGACACTATGGACCAACATTCTCGATAATCCAAGCCGACTTGTTATTTCAAATCAAAGATGCATATTCATTCAAATTTAAGTATTTACTGTTATACGACCGGTTTACAATGTAAAACAGTACAAATCACGGTGAGTTTCTACACGAGCATAATCAAATAAATGTGAAATAGATGACATTTGGTTGGGTATTTAACACAAGCATGTTACAGCATTAGAATTGTTATGTACACCCGTCATTATGGCGACAATTTTAATTACACGCCATATTTTACATTATTCTACATTTTCTTCGTGTTTGTTAGTCGTAACATTTTTTCAAAACATTTCTAGGCAAGTTTCACTACATATGTCGAATGGGACAAATACCGCAGTTGTATTGTGTTGGACACGAGAAACTCATATACACTGTCTTTTGGTAAAGTTGTATATCCGTTCGACCAATCATACCTTAGTTTCAGAAACAGGAATTTGTAGCTTACATAATCAGTAATAGTGTTCATAGCTCATCGTCGAAATTTGAGCCTTCAAATCCATGTGTATCCATAATTATTCACGTTTGAAGGTTGAGCCAAATATAGAAAAGAGTTTGGGGTATATTTGAAGGGATTATGCGATTTTCGTGCGTTTTAGTATCTCTTAAGAAAGCACAATAAAGACCCAAATCGATCCCCGAAAATGCCGACTGTTCCCCTTTAATATGAACTGAAAAGCAGAGTCTTCGTTGTGTCCTTTAGTACATGTATTGTAAAATGCCAACGGTTTTATGGTACACAAAAACTATCTTAGGGCCGAACGTTACTTGCTTTTAGAAAATAAATTGATCAATGAACTCCATGGAGATCTAGCTAGAATCCGTTTGAATCCCGTTGAAGCAGTAAATGCACAAGTTTCATCGACTGGTTACGTTAGCAATAAGACGAAAATAGTATTTCCAGCGCATAAACATTCTGATATGAATATGAACATTCTGATGAGTTCATTTTTATGAAAATTAAAGGTTATAAAATTGTGATATTTTGTATAATATTCATTGTTTATTGGAATGGAAACCTCAGAATGACGGCGTGAGAAATCAATGGGCGGACGTCGGTAGGCGTAGAGCAGAACACCTTCTAAATCAGTCAAATAAGAAGATTTAATAGAGCAATGTTTACCGAGGACGAGAGGCGACGTGGGTCGAATTCAATAGAAATATAAAATATATTCTTTATTCTTCTTTTACTGTTTATATTTAACAGATATCGGATCTTAAACAAACTCAAGTCGACAGTACGAAATAAACACACCCCATCAAATATCTTTTGAATAATTCTTATTAGTCAAGTTGGGGTTTGAAATCTGATCTAGTCTGTCAATATACTAATTGTAGCGGAGGTCACCAGCCTGACCCGTACAGAAACTATCATAATGGCCGCCTAATCCCATGTTTAATAACATCCATTATCATCCAATCACCAAACAGTTTCTTATTCACTGCCGACAGTGGTGCTATCACGCGCTAAAGCGACATCTAACGAGTAGAGTTAGTGTTAAAGACACACCTGTGTCAAGCAGGTAAAATAGCGTCACATTTCCAGCACCGTTTGAACTTCACAGTTCTTACCTAAAACCACTCAGCATTCTGAACATTTTTGTCGCACAGGCTATAAATAGATCCACCTTTACAAAGATCAGACTCAGGAAGGTGCACTGAAGATCTTTGGCGATCGGAAGCTTGGTTACCAAACTACTATGAGAGTGGAGGAGATTGCTTCAAATTCACAAGGCTAAGTTAAATGGAATTTGATCATATTTTCTGTTAAGTAAAAGAACCGATCCAGTCTCAATTCACCTTAAAAACCACATAGTACGGGATCATTGGGTATATTTTAAGTTATGACCCAACAGAAATTCTACAAGAGTAAAATCTGTTACTGCACCATGGGGAAATTTGAAAAGACCAAAATTTATTAATCTAAAAGGGTAGATTTGTATTAAAATAAAATGTAGCTCTTACCTGATTTAACAGAACAATGGATATGACCACGTGATTCATAATACACCCAATCAAACCCAGCCTCGACAGCCAGCCTAGCTAACATACCATACTTGGATCTATCTCGATCCGAAGTTGTAATATCTACAGCTCTTCCTTCATAATGTAAGGAATCTTTAGCATGTGAGTTGGGCGAATCGTCCCAGGCTTCTGTAACACGTAATCGTACATCTTTCCAGTTATTCATCACGCTGACAGCCAGTGAGTTCAGTTTATCTTGACACCTCTGGAATATAGAACAATATTTTGTTTTAATTCTCGTTAGACAAAAAGGAAAGAAGAAGAACTATTAAATAATGAACAAAAAAAAAGTAACACCAATCACGGATAACAATTTTGAGATTTCTTGCAACTGATTAGTGGTAATGATCAATCTTGGCCCATGAGTGCCCAATGAGCAAAAGGACTTGTGCAAGGGCACAAGACGTGAGACCAGCATCTTTCGACCAGAAGCCCATAGGAGTATCATGGTCGAAATAGGTAAAATTCGGTCGTATTAATGTTATCAATTTAGCTAATAACGTTTGGTTGAAAAAAAAAGTCAAATTTATTAGTTCGACATCTTTTAAAGGGATTGTTAAGAGGTTTTCTAAATTTTTTATGTGTATCGGGGACACTGATAGTATCAATTTGCACCATTCCAATTGTCACTCCGACGTCTGTGGTTTTTGCAATTCCACTGAAACTAACGCGTTTTATTACGTCATGAGCAGCTACTATTATCTATGCAGTTACCATCTATCGAAGTAAAAAAATGCGTTAGTTAGATGCTATCAGTGTCCCCGATACACAAAAAAAGTTTAGAAAACCTCTTTACAATCCCTTTAAGATGACAAAGTGTATAAGTAGTCTTGATTCGGGTTGAGGCCAGAGGAAAATTAGAAGCTACTACATCTCTACCACTAGTTTCCCCTTCCCCCCTTATATTTTTACTCAAAAGAATCCAGATTCTTCATATAAAAACAACGCCATTGATATTCGTAGAGTACAACAGACAAGGACAGGTTTGATTCTAGAAAAGATGATCTAAATCCTGTAAACCACAGTCTAACCACAAGGTTACGTTGATCTGCTAAACGAGGCTGAAATAATAGGTCTAGACAGAATTATAACGCTTAATTTGATTGGTTCACTGATCTTTTTAACACGTTTTATGATTGGGTCAATGATCTTATGTAATAATTTGTGAATAAGAGGTCTGATTACGACAACCGAAAATCAATGAATTATTACACGAGTTGCCTTTCCTTGCTTTTTATTTGATTTACTGTCCGATTAGACTTGTTAACTTGATCAAGAAGATTTCATTCTTACAGTTTGTCTCGTCTCGATTGTTTTTAAATTCCTTCTTTCACTATCAATCATTAGAGTATACAGTGGTCTGGTTGCTGGAAATCCTAGGCCGCCGTGACCACAGAAACTCAATCCCAGTTCTCTATCAGATTTATGATCAACATCAAGCCAGTGGGCTTTTGTTTTTTAAATTAGTGAAGCATTTGCATACACCTTGTTTTCTATGTCTTTCTGTGCCCCAGACTTGGGCACGCTAAAGATCCCCAACAATATTTTTAGACTTCTGTCGGGAAAACAATGCCCCATATTTCAAAATACATCGTATTGCCAGCCATTAGTTGTCTCATAAAGCAAATCTGTTAGGGTACCCCATTTCCTGATATTTCGAAATATGTCATCAGAATCAACGTTGAGTCACATTGATAATGTCATCTTGGTAGTAGATAGACCCACGTCACAATTTGATACCACTTTCTTGTAGATTGGACAAACTTGGGCGCGGCATGATTGACACACTGTTTTGAGAACCAAGATTTCTAAAAGAAAGACTCTCAAGATCTCTCAGAGCTGAATAGGAATCGATAGTAGATGGAATCATTGGTGTTGATATAATGTTGAAATCCTATTACTAGTGTTAATATAAGACTGACCCAGGGTTATGATCTGTAACTACCGCGCTCTATCTTATAATTTGTTAGTGATATTAAAAATGTCTCGCCAGTATCATACTAAAACAAACACTTCATCGTATAATCATTATTCAATATCTCTTCTCTCTACAGTCTTTATAGCAGTTTTATTTAGACATCAATTCTCTTTAAATACGATGACTCAACTTATGGACTTTTAAAGGCACGTTACCTGCAATCCTTTTCAATATACAAAGATTGCCAAGTCACTGGTGGGTATAAAATCCCAACTGATCAACTAAAAGGTCAACCGGGAGTAAAATATTGCGCTATTACTTTTTTGTCGGTGCGGTTGGTTGGTATCTTTACCCACTCTCAAGTCACTGTCAAGCACTAGTAATTTTATAAAGCTGCTTTCTGGGGTAATGATTTTGTAAAAGTACAAATGAGCAGGTTGTTCGAAAGGTTTGCGAAAACAAATCAGGTCGTGTGACATTGGTTGAAGGGTCTTTGAGAAAACCAGAAAAAACCGTACCCATACTAGGATATCCTGTTATATTCTCAAGACTTTGTCTACAACTACTGGTAACAGCGGACATTTGATGGATTCGTCTATGAAAGTTTCGCTTTCTTCTCCAGAGTTAACACTTTTTCTGGAATTTCAGATGCAATCATTTTTGTAGACTGACATAAACTGGTGAAAGCGTTTCGTTAAAAATCAAATAATTACCAATGATGATTCGAGATTTCCTCTTTGAAAACAGTGAAAATGGAGAAACACTCGTATAGTTACATCTACGAGACAAAAAGATGTCGGGTAAATAAATCTTCCATTGCCTTTGGACACATATTTCACAAGGGGTAACAACTGCATCTATGACAAAACTGACGATAAAAAAAACCGTAGTCAGATAAAGATAGCTCTCTTCACTCTAATGTGCATATAATTTGAAAATATAACAAGCTGCATCAATTCCACTACCAAGAGGCGGATTAACCTATAAGGCAAACTAGGCAGTTGCCTTTCGGCCCATGGAAAATTTGGCCGATGACAAATTTTTAACAGTAAAAATTATCAAACAGTTAAGAAATTTCCTCAGGCCCATCGAAAATTGTTCAACTAGGAGCGTGATGTGTGAGAATCGACTAAATTGTTTGAGCCTAATGGTGATGAATGCCGATATCGTACATACGACTGATTCTGATGAGCTGATTGATCTGTTCCTGAAAAAAAAAATCGCAAACTTCCTGCCATAAAAATGTAATCACACCATGCACCCAACCTAAAATGAGAAATTAGGCCCTCTACCGTCCGTTTGCCTAGAGCCCAACAAGTCCAAAATCCGCCACTGCCATTACCAAGTTGAAAATTTGTGAGTAATTTGAAACAGAGTGGCGAGTAACTTTAAGAGAGTAACGTGAGTTCTATTTGGTATGTCAACAAGGAGTACGAGGGGTTATAGCAGTGTTACACTGGTCAGCGATATTATATAGCCCTGGATCTATAATACTCTACTTTCCCCAGTCAATATCATAACTTGATTAAACACACTTTAATCATAGGCTTGTCTTAGATACAAACTCTGGTTTAAGACGTCTATATAAATTTTACTAGGAATAAAAGTATCTGTATCAGAGATACTGATGCACTAACTTCGAAAATGTTTTTTTTCGGATTGCACATTTGTCTATGCTGCAGACCCGAAGAGAGGCTTGACTGCTGGAGGGGCAAGCAAGTAAGACGATTATCAATGTCAAGGCTCAAATGTGCATTGAATATTTGCACCACATTTTTGCAAGTACTGTGACGGGATGACATTTCTTTCCAGAACGATTTAAAAATCGTGGCAGTGCTTGTTAGATCATCCAGAGCAAAGAAAAGACTTTTTCCGCCAGTTAGTTCCGTTAGTGCCTCGAAATAATATACATTATAATAATATACATTATTAAAGGCTTCTCACAATTACTCAAGCATCAAGAGAATAATAAAGAACTAATATTCTTCAAGCCAGATACCTTCACTTTCTAGAATCGGTGGAATGTTGTTATATTTACCTCTATTCATTACGTGTTCATTATTATTTATCTGGGCAGGTAAACCACTTTACCTCAAGTGCCTGTGGGAAATATGATCTAGAAAAAGTCTACATAAACTGGGGGCGTGTCACATACACCTTTAATATACAATAGTTATAGCTTATAACTGACTTTGACCTAAGCTAATTATTCGGATACGTACCTTACGCTTATAATGCATATAAAAATAATACATCGCACCGAAAGCTCTAAATGTTTAAAATAACTATGCAGATTCCAGATGATTTTAGACATTTCTCTTATAGCTTTTTCAACAATTTACTTTTAATAACATCTATTAATCATGATCTTAACTTGCAATGAATCTACAATTTATAATCATACAATCTTAAATTGTCGTGGTGATCTTTCATTCTAACGTTGTGATTGTTATTGTAATCAGTCATTATGAAATTGCAGTTGTTGTTGTGACTGGTCATTCTTAAAATTGTCGTATAGTGGTCTGTCATTCTAATATATCGTTGAGTTCTATCATTCTAAAATTTTGTTGTGATGTTACATTCTAAAATTGCGGCTGTTGTTGTGGTCATAAATTCTAAAATTGTCGTGGACATTTATTCTAAATTTGCGGCTGTTGTTGTGATCAGTCATTCTTACAATTGTCGTTGAGTTCTGTCATTCTAAAATTTTGTTGTGATCCATAATTATTCATGTTTGAAAGTTAAAAATTCGACTCGAATTTTAGTGAAACTATAAATTATGTCATATATAAAAACACATTATATGGAAATAGACAGTGAAATTTCTAGTTTGAGGTATATTTGAAGGGATTATGCGATTTTTGTGCGTTTTAGTACTTCTTGAGACTATTAAAGCACATTCAAGACCACAAATCAATCCCCGAAAATGCCGACTGTTACCTTTTAAAGAAAGATATCAAATTATGACGACAAGCCAAATGGTATTGTGCGATAGTATATAGTATTATATGGCATTTCGAAAAAAATGCTTTTACCCTTAAATATAGTCTTTTTCGAAACATACAGGCCTATGTGTTGGTAATGAAAACGACGAACAAATAAAAATATGTCCCATTCTATATAAATGTATGAAATAAAGGGGAAAGTTTGACAGTCTAACAAGAAGAGTAAGGGGGTACTCGTCAATTTATTTACTTAACGGTAATTCTATCCAATAACACATACACGAATAATGATGAAAAATTTAAAGTTGATTTTAATTCGAGTGGTTTCAGCAAAGGGGAATA